CTTGTTTCCCTGGGTTCACTGCTAAAGCTTTTCTCCCATCAGAGCTCAGCAGGTGACCCTGTCCATCTCCTAGTGTAGGCACCGTGGCATCTCACACCAGTGGTCTTTACAGTTGTCTATCCCTACATTAACCCTCACCTGTGCTAGGTCTGTTCTCCACACATCAGACAGATCCTCTCTGAACACACACCAGAGCCTGCTAGTCCCCCGCTTACAACCCTCTGATGCAATTCCATAACTTTCTGGAACAGGCACATGGTGCTGAAAGAGCCCCACCTACGTTTCCGAGTCTCCTTCTACCGGTCCCTCTTGTCTACCAGGTTCCAGTGGCTACCAACCTTCCTCTGCCCCTTCCAGAATGAGCCAATGGAAGCTTCTGTCCTGGCTGTTCCCTTTGGCTTGGGACACTTTTCTACCCAGAACTCAGCATGACTTCTCTCTGGTTCTTTAGGTGTCAGCACAAGGCTCAGCTCCTCAGAGAGGAGCTCTGAGCTGCCCAGGCTCTCGCTACCCTCCATCCCACTGTGCCATTGGATTTTCATCACAGTGCTGATTATCTAGAAGCACAGTATTTGCTTATTTATGGATTTGTGGTCTGTGGGATCCCTCCCACTCCTGTATTGTATTTCTCAAGGGAGTGGTGACTTAATCATGTGTAGTGTATTTGGCATCTAGAATAGCGTTGGCATGGGGAACTGGTAATTACTCAATAAATAATAGCCAAATTAACTTCTCTCTCAGATTGTTCTGATTTCTATAGTTCCTGAAATGCAAGTTCCCCAGTCTATAATTTTTGGTCTTCCTAATGGTTTTCTCAGAGATCTGTGAATTTTGTCTGTGATTTCATCTTTTGCAAGAATTTTCTTTCACGTGAGTCTTCAGTTAGCTCATGGGAGGTTCTATTGTTTACCCTGGAAATTCTATTTCTCAGCCTTAGTAGGTGGCTGGAATTTGGAACACATAGCCATGCATGATGCAGACTTTAAGACTTCTATTTTTTTAGGGTGAGTCTTTCTGCCCACAGTCCAGGGAACCAGCCAGTTTGGGGCTGAGTTCCTGTGGTAGACAAAGACTTTCGAGTCCTGTTGTCACTGATGGTTTTGACTCCTGTGTTTATTTAAGAAGCTCAGTTCTAATTGCTTGAAAAGCCTGTATTCTTTTTCTGTTTCCATAACAAATGCCTGCAACTGGATAGTATATAAAGAAAAGAGATTTATTTAGCACAGAGTACTGGAGGCAGAAAGCCCAAGATGAGTGGGCCCCATCATTTCAACCTCTGGTGAGTGCTTTATGGCAGATGGCATCTGTATTAGTCAAGTTTTCAATATTATGAACAAAACACTCGATGAGAACAATTTAGAGAGGAAAAGTTTATCTGGGACTCGGGGTTTCAGAGGTTTCACTCCATGGTTAGCTAACTCCATTGCTGTGAGCCTGAGGTGAGGCAGAATACATAGTGGAAGGGTGTGGTGGAGCAAAGCTGCTCAGTTAGCGGCAGCTCAGTCTTTTATAACAACCCATCCTCATGAGATCTAACTGCTCCATGAGAAGAGCTTCAGCCCTCTCCAAGGGCACGCCCCCAGTGACCTAATTACTTCCCATTAGGTCCCACCTCTTAAAGGTTCCACCACCTCCCAACACTACCATATTGAGGACCAAGCATCCAACACAGGAACCCTTGGGGGACAAATCACATCCAAACCATGGCAAGGCCTGAGTGTTCTAGACACTGTACAGGTCTTCAAACCCAAGCTCCTTAGGCTTCTTTCCGGTTCAGACACTGAGCTATTTCTGTTGGAATCATCTCTTGCCCTGGCTCTTGGTAACTTCTCAGTGTCACATTGGAGCTCAGCATTATGTTTTTTTAACGTTATACTTTATCCAGCATTTGTGTGTGTGTTTAGAGGGGCCTCTGCCTGTTCAGTCCCCTCTCTTGATTAGGAGATCCCTTCTGGCCCATCTCTACACACCTTTGTCTTCAGTGCCCCCCAACCTAATAACCGGCACCCTGGGGGTTCCGCCTCGCACTGACGGGTTTACAGTTCTCATTAACACATGTGCTTCCATGCCTGCTCCTTAGAGTTACTCCAAAACACCATGCATGCGGCTAGGCTCCCTGGGTGCTTGCAATAAATACTTGCTTGTTAAAGCAAAGTGAGCGACTTTCAATATTTTGCTACCAACAGCTGGTTGTGCCGGCTGGTGCTGCCACTCAGCCCCTCTCCCCAGCAGGCCACTGCATCCTGTGGAATGACGAGCCTACTGCAGCAGAAGGGAAGAGGCTGTAATTAGGGAGATGAAAAAGGGCAGGCACCGCCACAGTCTTTCAAAGCCAATAATTCTTGTGGAGCCTTTCAAGGCTGGTAGGCAAAGGTGGAATATATTTCTCACCGCCACGTTTTGTTTCGTTTTTTCCCTCCCACTGTGCTGAGGATCAAACCCAGGACTTCATGCATGCTGAGGTAGTGCTCTGCCACTAAGCTATACCCCCTGCCCTCATCACTGATTCTTTCCTTTTATATCTGGACTCCTATATATGTTAAGAGGTGATATAATAATAGTAGTAATCATATTAGTTAATATTTAGTATTTATAGAAACTTACAGGCCTGATGCACTAAGCACCTTCAATAATAATATAAATAAAATATAATAATATTAAACATATTCATCAACACATAGGGCACTAAGTGACAGGCATCACTATAAGTGTTTCTCAAATTGACTTTTCCTAACTTGAGTGCTGATGAATCTGAAGCCCAGAGAGGTTAAGCAACTTGTCAAAGAGGCTCTGTATCTGCATCTCCCTTCCAGACTTCTTCTGTGCATCCCCCCTGTGTGCATTATTTCAAACAACTGTGTGTAGTAGAAACTATTATGACCTACTTCTTATGGAGATGAGAAAGCAGGGACTCAAGTGTGGAGCAGGTTGCTAGAGACGGAACAGCCTTACTGCAGTATGGAGCAGTGAGCACGTGGCATGGCACCTGGGACCACTGCCCAGCCACTCCCGCGGGCACACTTTAACTTGTTAAAGTCCCCTGCAGGCCTTTTCAAAAGTGATAAAATTCTATTTTTAAATTTGTATATTTTCAAAAAATTTTATTGTAACTTGTAATGTGTTTTAAATAAATGCATGCTTTATCTTGATTGTCATTAACCTCAATGTATTTCTAAAATTTAAATTAAAAAAAAAAAGATAAACAAAACCCCCAGCCATTCCCAGTATAGGCCAGCCCTGCAGACCTGGAGCTGGTCTCCAGGCCCTTCTCTGTCATCTTCCCGTAGGTCTCTTCCCACCTGGGACAGGTGTATGGGGTGGGGGCAGGGAAACAGTCTTGTCTGTTCTTCCTGGGGTGTGAGGCTCTGAGAAGCTGTTTTCCCCCATCCCAGGCCTCCAGCCCTGGGTGGGAGGACAGCACCCAGTGCCCTCAGGAAGCAGCAGAGCTGAGTAGAGGATCTGCAGGGCAGGCATGAGGGACGAAGGCCGAGGGAAGGCAGGGCACAGTGCACGGCTGGAGGGGCTGTCTCCAAGTCCAGGCTCTGACAGGAGCCAGCTAGAGGACCACAAGACACCAGGAGTGAGCCACTTGCTGTTTGTAGAGTGCTTGCAGTCTGTGCCTGGCATAGGGTTAAGCACAGAGCGAGCATTTATTAAGATAAATCAATGCCCTCGAATTCTCCAACAGGCAAAGCCAAGTGGCAGATGCCCCAGGGCAGGGGACAGGAAGGCCTTCCTTATAAGATAAAAGGAAGACAGTGGATGATCCCCTTCTGCTCCCAGGAAATGACCTCATTCTTGGCTTCTAGAGACCCTGCTAGAGGTATAAGGGTGTCCTGGGCTACACCTGGCTCTGGGGCTGGGGAGGAGCCTGGTTTTGGCAGCTGTAGCTGGTGAGCACCTCCCACCCTTTTGTTCAAGTTATTGCTGGCTCCCTGCCGCCCCTGAGGTTCTCCTGTCACACACAGCGAGCAGGGCCAGGCTCTTGAGGAAAATGCGCCTGTTCACTATTCACCCTCATTTCTGGGAGGGTGGCTTTTCTACCAGAGTGGGAGGTGGCAGGACTATGAAATTAAGTTAAGGCAGGTGCTCCTGCCTTAACTCCCCCCACCCCCATCTCAAAAGCAAGCCAGACTGACAGCCAAGCCTCTTGGCTCCAGTGAACACTTAAAGCAAGGACACATGGGCTACACGGGCCAGCCACTTCACCACGCAGTACCATGGGTATCCTGTGCACTATGGCGTATTGAATGTCTGGGTGAAACGCAGGCATGGACAGGTGGGAAGGAAGGGAAAGAGAAGGAGGGAAGGAAGCAAGCATCTATAAAAAGGGTCAGAGAATTATTTTTTTTCCCTTCAATCTCTATCCATAGAGCAGTGGTTTTTCAACATGGGCTGAACAGGAATCCTCTTGAACCTTTTAAAAATTCAGTTGTCCAGAGGTCATATCCCCTAGAGCAGTGCGTTCAATTGTTGTATTTTTTTTTTCTCCCTCTAAAGTCAGCAAGTCAAAAACTTGAAAGTTACTCTGAAGGATCAGATAGGAAGAACTTTCAGCTCTGTGGGCTTCCCAGTCTCTATTGCCTGGTCTCAGCAGGAAAGTGTCCCTGGGCAAGGCAGGTATCAACACCTGAGCAGGACTGTGCTCCAGTAACACTTTACGCAGATGGTGGGCTGGACTTGGCCCACAGGCTGAAGTCTGCCCACTCCTTACCCAGAGGAGATAGGAAGCTTCGACCTCACTTCATTGACATCTCCATGTCTTCCTCCCAACACGAGCTCCCCCCGACCCTGGCTTGCAAATCCTTTCATAAAAACTCATGTCAAAATAACCTTGGGGGTGGGGGGCTGCAGCAAGGAGCTGTGAAGCCAGACTGACCCCAGACAGATCACTGGAGCTGGGTGACCGGCTTGGACTTGTGGGAAGTCTGGGATCCCAGGGCCTGTGGCCTGAGTGTGCGGGGATGTGAATGACAGGGACACGCGTGGAAGATACTCACGACCAGTAGAGCAGCATGAGCAGGAAGGGGCAGATGATGAGGGCCTGCAGCACCTGCCAGTCCCGGCACAGGGCAGCCAGCCCGGGCATGAGGAACTGGCCGGCCATGGCCACAAAGCTCGCCACCATCGTGATCATGAACCGTTTTCCAGGCGGACACAGCTCTATTCCTAGGACACAGAACAACAAGAGAGACGTGAGTGACGTGCCGGAGGCCTGGGGGAGCCCTACGTGATATGCCAACATCTCATACAAGGGTGAACTGAGGCCTGACAGGAAAGGGAACAAGAGCGTGGCTCAAGGTCACAGAGCAAGGGCACTGTGATTCAGAGGTGCTTAGCTCAGAAACTAGGAAATGCTGCTGCCCGTGGGGATGGACTTTCTGCATTGCCCACTGTTACTGAGCTTGCTGTCCAGCGTGTTCCCTTGAGTGTCTGAGCCGTTGCCATTCCCTCCTGTCTAGGATGCTGCTGGACACCCTCTCAACCTGTAGATGGGACACCAGGAACATCCATCTATTCACTCTCCACCTGTCCATCTCTTCTCCTGGTCCTGACCTCAGTGCTCCTTGAGAACTCTGAGTTCCAGGTGACCTGCTATCCCTAGGAGATCAAGATAGAGCTGAATTGCCACCTATCTATGTAAACAAGACAAGAACAAATAAAAAGTCATAGAGTAATGATGTGGCTGGAAAACTCCTTTTCATATTGGAATCCTGGTACCCACTCTAATGTGGGTATGTTGGGCATATTTTCCCAGGCTGCAGATGAATCACATCTAATTCAAGTGAAAAAAGAGTGTCTGTTTTCAACAAATGCCCCCTGATGGAGGCAGATCACGGTTCCTCCTGTCTCTCAATTTTACCTTGAGTAAAAAAATACGTTTATATAACTTTAACCAAGTGACAACCCCATGCAGGCCCACTTCATGAATCCTATAATAATGGTCCTTAAAACTAGAGGCATAGTTTTATGTATACTTTCCAGTTACAGAGCATGCAAATTTGTTTGCTACTCTCCTACTACAATGTACAGTATTCCCTATATTTTTCTTTCTTGCTTTTTTTTTTTTTATTAACTAAGTATAGTTAAAAGGATTTGAGAAGAAAAAGCAAAAGAAGAAAGCCCCTCAGCAGAAAATAGTTTCATGCCTTTGAGTCTGGAGACTGTTCAAAGGGTGGACTTTGTAGATTGTTACAATAGCATATGGGCTGGTTGTACAGGCTGGGGTAGAGGTAGGAGGTCACAAGGCACTGAGGAAGGGGAAGATGAGAGGGAGAATGAAAAAACTATACTTGGCTACAAGGATATTATCAGTCCTAACAAAGACAGGGCATTGTGTCAGCCAAACCTATACCAGCTCATCTTTAGAAGAAAAAAAAAAATGTCATTGGCATTTCTATTTCTGCTTGGCCACAAATGGTCATCATCATAGCTACATTGATGAGTGGTAGAGAAACCTGGTCTCACTGACTATAGCTAATAAAGAGCTTTTTACCATTTAATTAGGAAAACAGGATTAAATAGTCCACTCTAGGCCATTTGCTGTGATGCTGTTCCTTCAATACCACAGGCCAAACTCAGTAAAAGGATTACTGCCTCTCAGGGTCCGGAGATGGCATTTCTACCCTCTGAAATAATAAAGAAAAGAGTCTCTTCAGAAAAGGCTAAGAGTGGTAGGTTCTAGTTTTCACTTATTAAGCACAAGCAGATTTGCTGCTATGGAAACCAGAAATCTGCATTAGCCACAGTGCATGCAGTGTTAGGAGGTTCAGCCTCGGCAAGCATCAGATAAGAAAATTTAGCACTTGGTCACCCCATAACCTTTAAACAAAGTCAGAGAGAGAATGTCAAAGTAGCAATAATGGCTTCATGTCAGTGAGTTTGGTCATATGACAGACCTATGTGCTCCTTGTGCTTTTTTTCTTTACTGCCTCTTTAATTTAGTGACACAATACATATGAAAACATCGGCGACTTTGGCAGTCCGCTCTTATCTGTGGTTTTATTTTCCACGTTTTCAGTTACCTGTAGTTAACCCCAATTTGAAAATATTAAATGGAGAATTCCAGAAATTGACAACCCATAAGTTTTGAATTGCATGTCATTCTGAGCAGCATGATGAAAGTTTGTGCCATTCCACATTGTGGGGAGTGAGTAATCCCTTGACCCGTGTATCCATGCTGTATATGTTACCCACCCTGTAGCCACTTAGTAACATACCCATTATTAAACTGACTGTCATGATATCACAGTGCTTGTGTTCAGGTAATTCTTATTTTATTTAACAGTGGTCACAAAGCAAATAATAATAATGATAATTCAGATGCGACAAAGAAAAGCCACAGAATGCTTATTTTAAATGAAAAGGTGAAAATTCTCAACTTCCTAAAGAAAGAAAAAAAAATCATATACTTAAGGTTGCTAAAGTCTATGGTAAGAAAGAAACATAGTATGTAAAGGGTCTGTTTACATACTAAAACTGCTGAGGTTCAGGCATGCACTGCACTGGGGGTCTTCAAATATATCACCCAAGAATAAGGGGAGACTACTGTACAATTCTTTTACTATATGCCCTCTTTGGGATCCCTAATCCCACATACTAATCTACACTTGTGTGATATCATTCAAAAGATCACAAAATGACTTCTGAGACCACGGTCTAGGTTTGCCGATGATGGAAGAAAATGGTTCCTTAATGGGCAAGTAATGGTGTAGTTTGACGTCACAGTCTCTCCTGGGCACTAAGGATTGCAGTGGCTACTACATCAATTAGTGTGACCACTGATGTGAAAACTATTAAATTGTCATAGTTTTTCTCCTTGAGGTCCTCTCTCCTAAGTGGTCTGAGTTGTCCCTTAACTTCTCTCCACCTGTGGGGTCCGTGGACCTGAGATGTCAGCCTCACAGGGGAGCTTGTTAGAAATGCTTCAGCCCAGGCCCACTCAGACCTACAGAATCAGCACTCATATTATAACGAGAACCCTGGACCCCTCTTGAGGACGGGCTCCCTGAACTTCCCAAGCACTGTAAGCACGTTTGCCTCCCAGATATAGAGCTGAAGAAGCAGAACCAGCTTTTGATCTCTCCACTCCTGCTTTTGCTAGGAATCCTGGCAGAGATTTGACTTTATCTCACCAGGTAGAGCAACCCAAGGTACACAAGGCAGATATTTGTTCTTTTGGCAATTCCTGCTGTGGTAATGGAAAAGCACAGTGACTTGAAGTAGGGACACAGGTGTGGACATTTGCAGACAACGGCCTATTTTTGCCTTGACTCACCAGAAATTCTTTCTAAATTGCCTGAATCCAACCATGTTCTGAAGGTTGGCTATAAAAATTAAAAAAAAAAAAAAAAAAAAAAAGCAGCAGCAGCAATTATCAAGGAACCGCAGGCACTTTAGGCTTGCCATTAATCACATGTTCCTTTTGGAAGGTGAGAAATCTGGTTTTTTGTTTGTTTTTTTTTTTTCTGAAATAGGAGAGAGAGAATCCACCAGAATATTAAAGCCTTAAGTTACAGCATCTGTCAGAAGGGGTTAAGGACTGCAAGGAGGTGTCTGTGGCCACCCATGGCCTGCTCCACCTCTGTAAGCAGGAGTAGTTGGTGTAATGGCTCACACACCTTGAAGATGGTACCTGTCACCTGGCTGGGATCACTGACCTTGACCTTGCAAGGAGGGGAATGGTGTTCCCAATCCAAGTGTCCCTGGAAAGCCTGGCTATTTTGGAGAGTAGGTCTCACGTAGGCAGGCACCCACAGCACCCAAGGAAGACCCTGTTTCTAAGCTGTGACCTGGTATGTCTTAGACCCAACTTCTTTGCCAATGAAGCCAAGCCTAAATTGTCTTAGAGTGTCACTTAACAGGCAGCAAAACTTCCCCTGATTATGTAAAATGGTAGTGGTCACAACAAGCCATCATCTTAAATGATTCATGAAAGCATTAAACATAAACTATCCCAGGTGTCCAGCATGCAGGGTCAACACTGCTGTGGTGAAGAGCCTGGACTGTGGAGGCAGAGTTCTTGGGTTCAAACCCTGTTCCTGCTGCTGGTGACCTCAGTGTGGTCATCTAAGTGGTCATCTGTGCCTGAGTTTTGTGCAAAATGGGGCATTGTGAGTATTAAACAGTACACAGTGGTGAACACAGCAAGCGCTTTGTGCCAGCAGCTGTGAGTGATAATACTGTACATTATCACCACGTCTAACACGACAGCTATCACTCATTAGTCACATTTGACCCAATGACCCTCATTTGGTTTCATTTATTGTCTGCTTTATTAAGTGACTTTTCAGAGTTGGCCTGAGGGTTATTCTAAAAGACAGGAGAAGAGAAATCATCTACAATGACAGCCCATGCCATCGCATTTCTCCTCCATCCCTTTTATTTCCCTTTTACCTGGAAGTAATCCATCAAAAAATAGAATTGAGGGTCTGGCTGCAGGTGTGATTCAGGGGTAAAGCATATGCAAAAGAAAATACAAGACCCTGGTTTGATTTCTGTTACTATGGACAAACTCATCCCAAACAAAAAAAACAACATCAACAACAAAACAGAATTCAAGAAAATCAAGAAAGAGTCTCCAGTGTTAAAACTGCTCTTCCCTGAATTCCTCAAAGGAGAAGGCTCATGGCAGCTCTCAGAAGCTAGGCAAGCTTGGTTGACAAGCAGAGAAATTGCTGATGACTCCCAGAAGTAAACAACCCATAATTAAGATGGAACTAAGGCATCTGGTCAGCAAGTAATGGGGACCGTGACCATGATGGTCAGTCCAGGGTGTGGGAGCAGCCGGAGGCTCACGGAACAGGTGGCCTTGTTAGCAGCTGCAACTCCAGGAAGAAGATCTGCTTTTCAGAGTTTGCAGATTCTAATAAATTTCCTGGAAGAAAAGAAAGTTGTGCCTCTCAGAGCAGTCACGGCAGGTGACAGGAGGAAGGCCCAAGCAAGGTAGGCACCCAGGCCTGGCTGCCATCAGCTGGCTCCACAGTCCTTCCCTGAAGGATGGGACACAGGTCAGTTTGATGTGTCAACATGGCCAGGATACTGTCCCACGTATTCAATCAAACACTAAACTAAGGGGCTGGGGATGTGGCTTAGTGCCAAGGGAAGGGCACTTGCCTAGCATGCTGGGGGTCCTGGATTCCATCCCAGCACTGAAAAAACAAAAACAA